CCAGAAGTGCGAGGGAGAAGTTATGATGATCTGGCTGCAGTTCCTGCTAGGTGCACCACTGGACCATCATGGAGTAATTTTTCATGTAACAGGATGGACTCAGCTTGTGAGCTGTGTCGGCTGCCAGGGCGCCCCTTGTGTTATGGCGCCCTGTGCGACCGCACAGCTCGCACACCCCTAAGGCCGGCCCTGCATACACTGCATCCCTGACATACACTGCCCCCCCTACTCACACACTACAACCTTCACACACACACACACTGCTTACACACTGCACCCCTTACACATTGCACCACTCACACACACCACTGTTCAGATGCCCTACTACCGCCCCATTTCCCAGCAGACCTCAGGTAAGTTGTCAAACTGTTCTTAAACGGTTTGACTACTTAATCTAGGAGGGGGTCCCGGCACTATTGACACCATAACCACTACACTGAGTTGTAGTAGTTATTGTGTCTGGATTATTTCTTTAAATAATCTACAAGTGCCCCTCCCGAGATCAGGCTCTGGATCCGCCACTGCATAGGACCCAAGGTCACTCACTTAGACTGAAAGAAAGAAGATCTAGTCTAAGGCAGAGGAACGGGTACTTTACTGCCTTAAGAGGTGGTTTTATCAGTCTGTACAGATGTTTAAACAGCAACTGATTGAATTATTTCAAAAACATAATATTCAGGAATATCATTTTTAATATGTGGGGTAACTGCTTCTTGATCCAAGGAGACATCTGACTGCCATTCTGGGGTCGACAAGGATTTATTTCATTGTTGCAAAACTGAAAAGTGCTTAACAGGGTTTTTTGCCTTCTTTTGGATCAACAGCAAAAACAGATGTGAGAAAGGGTGAACTTGATGAAAGTGAGTATTTTTTCAGTCTATATAACCATGGACTATACTGGAGTCTGCTATATTGGAAAAAAGCTTGTATTTTGATGATGAAATGTATTCCAGGACGCAATTATCCCACCTCCAGGAAGTGCTGCAGTAAACTGGAAACTGTGGCTGGATGTCTTGCTGGTACAGATTGTGGATTGCTGTTGTGAGCAGGGTTACCAGATTCACCATGTTTTAGGGGATACATATAACGTGGTCATATTTATGAAAAGGCATGAAAAGGTTTCCCCTGCAGCATGTATAATGCATATTCTGCATTATATTATTATTATTGCCTAATTTCTTAATCTTATACACATTTTCATGTGCTGCCCATCAATCTGTATGCACTATATGTGTCCCTGGAAATCCTGGTTGTGAGTATCACAGGGATTTTGGTTCTTGGTTTTGTTTTTTAAGCCATGTGGAATAACAATTTCGCACTCAATTGCTTTACAGTTGGTACCCATGCTGTATTAATTGCTGGTTCCTCTGATTTTGCACCTTTGCAGAGTGAGCAGTCTTTACATGAGTGTTTTGGTTGTTTCTGTTTCAGTATATTAGTGTCCAACAGATTTACATTAAATTTCCTATCTTTCGTTGTATGTATATTTTATTATGGACACTATATCAACTACTGTGAGTCTCCCTTTTTGATATTTGGGTGTGATGAACTAATGTATATTTATATATTGGTGAGTACACGTAAAAGAAACTACTGTCATTTTGAAGGTGATATTTTGATGTATTTTAAAGTTGCTAGTGTGAGCTATTGCACTTTATTAGGTTGCTGTTATTTTTATATATATTTTTAGTGCCGTCTATTTACTTTATTTGCACTTTACCACAGTTGAACTAGATTCAACCCTGCTTGCACCAAGTTGACTAAGGGGGAAACAGTCCCTGCAGGTAAAATATCACATGATGGAATTATTTTGTCATGAGTACTCAAGGGAAGGACAGCAATGTAAAGTGTCATTAAGGGGTCAAAGTTGCTCTGTCACCTCAAATTTACCTTTCTCCTATTGTTTCCACTTTCAGAATCTGTTCTTCTTTTCTTTATTTCTGATATGTTTATATTTAAAACATAAGACAAAGTAGGGACTGTCACGAACGCACCCTACTCCAAGAGTCTGTGTGACGTAGTTGTGGTGGTGGTGGAAGGGTTAAAGTTCACTATTTGTCTGCACTAGACTGGAAGTAATGACAAAATCACCCTTTTTAACACCACCCACACTTAAACATAATAATATAACTATTACTATTTTAACGCTGCCACCACCAAGACAATTTATAAATGGGGTGCCTTGGTCCCCCCAGGTAAATAAATAATAAAACCCACCAAATATTACTTAGCACATTTTTTAAGGAATTACAAAAATACTAACTAGTCTCTTCAGGTAATGTGATTCTTAGCCAGACAAAGGCAAAACTTAATAAATGAATGTTTATTATGAGCAAAAATAGTCACAGTGCATATAACAATATATGATAAACAAATTATTTACACCAACAACAGATAAAAACAAAAAGGATAAAATACAGAAGTCCTAATTACTCACTTAGGTTTTCAAAGTACAACTTCTGTCCAGAGGGTCTCTGGCAAGGAAAGATGGTGACTCACTCAAAATTAGATCTTGGCCCCAAGCAAGTACACAAGCACCCTTCAGGATCATTAGATATATACCCTGTGGTTTATCAATTCTTGCCCAGGGGTGGAGTTAGGGCATACCCATAGAGATACAAAGTGACTACCTCCTTTGTTCCAGAAAACAACAAGCCAAATATAAACTTTTGGTTTTATCTCCTCTACTGTACTTGCCACAGAAATAATAATTGCCTCTATTAATTTGTTATTATTTCCCCATTCCATAGACGTGTTGCACGACCCACCCACAATCCAATAGGACAGACAGCACAATTCCTGCCACACGGTTTAAGTTGTGCAACTCATGTTTAGGCTTAATTAAGAGAGTGGGCTTATCCAATTCCAAATATAATAAAAATGATGCTTAATTATTAAACTGTGGGTAAGTATTAATGTTTCTCTTGGATAAAATACTGGAACACAAGGATCTTCATGAAACTAATCCCATTGCCATATCAAATGATTGAACTAGACTTTACAAGGTACATGCCAAATGGATGAATAGACATTCAGACTTTTTCCAAGTGTAGAACCTCACACCTTGCAGATCTTAGATTACTTCACATCCATATAGTAAAATCCTTCTCACATTGCTATGCCTTTCACACTACCTCTTCTGTCATCTGACCTCTGTGGGGGTCCCAGCTTCAAAAGATGTAACCCCTTTTGACCTCAACAATACCATCTCTGTAATTTGTGCCATTTACTACACAAATTACATTAAAGGATAATATTCCATAGGGTAATAATAAATTATGCACCCTTGCTGTGACAGGGACTACTTTGTCATATGTATTTTACCTACCCTTCGCAATTGTCACAAAGGGTGGGGCTTAAAGGACCAATATAGTGCCAGGAAAACATACTCGTTTGCCTGGCACTATAGTGCCCTGAGGGTGCCCCCACCCTCAGGGTCCCCCTCCCGCCCGGCTCTGGGGAGAGGAAGGGGTTAAACACTTACCTTTCTCTAGCGCCGGGCGGGGAGCTCTACTCCTCTTCTCCTCCTTGCTCGCGACGTCATCGGCTGAATGCGCATGCGCGGCAGGAGCCGCGCGCGCATTCAGCCGGTCGCATAGGAAAGCATTTACAATGCTTTCCTATGGACGCTTGCATGCTCTCACTGTGATTTCCACAGTGAGAAGCCCGCAAGCGCCTCTAGCGGCTGTCAATGAGACAGCCACTAGAGGCTCTGGAGGCTGGATTAACCCTCAGTATAAACATAGCAGTTTCTCTGAAATAAATGCTTTCCTATGGATGCTCGCGTCTTCTCACTGTGAAAAATCACAGTGAGAAGCGCGGAAGCGCCCCTAGCGGCTGTCAATGAGACAGCCACTAGAGGCTGGATTAACCAATATGTAAACATAGCAGTTTTTCTGAAACTGCTATGTTTAAAGCAGGCAGAGTTAATCCTAGATGGACCTGGCACCCAGACCACTTCATTGAGCTGAAGTGGTCTGGGTGCCTATAGTGGTCCTTTAATTCCATATATGACAACTATCCTTAGGATCCTGAACAACTTTTGTTCTCTGAGTCCACAAAAATTAGATGTGTGCACTAGAGCTCCCTGTCACAGCCCATTAAAGTTGTTTAGTATTTTTTCATTTATTTTTTTTGTATAGTTGTCTTAAGCAGCTGGCATCTCCATAGGTGTACTACCCTTGTGCCAAGTTAGGGGAAGTCTGCATTGCTAAGTCTTTTTGCAGCTCTGAGGTCCTTTATATTCTTACATTATTTCTGCTTTGCCAGCTGTGAGCTCTATCTGTTCTGAAAAAAAAAAAATTTGCGAAGAATTAGTGAAGGAGAGAACCTAAGTTTCATTGTGAAGCTGAACTCTTGAAATCCCGCTGGGGTGCCGCTAGCTGGGGATACATGCACACTCTGACTACATTGAAAAGTATCTGGCGTCCTCTTTTGGATGTCAGTCCCGCGCATCACTCAGACACAGGCTGCAAGTACCACCAGAGTCCAATTAACCAAAACCACCATCCGGTGTATTAGCGCTATGCACGCTGCGACTTCTGAAAAAGACATGGTGGAGGGGCAGAGCTTCCGAGGAAGATGAAGTAAGACGCAATTGAATAATAGAAGAAGATCAGAATACAACTGGAAAACAAAAAGCAAGACACATTATGTTCAGTGGTAATTAGATCTAGAATTAAAACAACATTAAGATGATGAGTTCAGGTAGACACAGTGGCTGTTGAGAAGTCCTATATTAAAATATAAACATTTTAAGAAAAAAAGGGATCTTTGTGAAATAGACAAATAAAGGCAACACGAGGCGTCTAGATATATTCTATAAAGGGGAATAGAACAGGTAAGTGTGGGAAGAAGTGAGGGGGGACGGGCATGTAGGAGAAGGAGGGACCACTGCTAGGTAGGAGGTGGAGGGACTCGCAGTAAAGATGGGGAAGAGACTTGCTATAGGTAGCTAAGGGACGCAAACTGGTGTGAACAGATAGCACACGAAAGGGCGAGTCTCATAAGAGAGTGTCAGGTATTATTTATAGACAGGTGACAATAAAGAGTGGGCTCTGGCTGGCATCACAGACAGAAGGAACATGGTCTCTTTCTATGGTATATAATCATTGTATGGGATGTCCCTTGGCGCTGTAGATAGACCAGGAGATTCTTAACCGCTTGGAATTTTTTTTTTTTTAAATCGCATTTTCCACTGAGACCCGATAACTGTGACTAGAGCATGGAAGACACAGAACTCCAGAATCAGAACGTTGGGAAAAACGCCGGGACTGCAAGCGACGAGCTCGATGCTTTGCCCTATCCCACATTGGCGCCCGTGGTATTCTTCTACCTTAATCAGGAGAGCAGACCCAGGATCTGGTGTTTGAAGATAGTTTGCAACCCATATCTTTTTTTTGTCTTTAAAGGGTTCGGGTAAGGTGAAAGGGATGTTTGAATTATGTTCTGCCTCGAAGTAAGTTATTGATCTACTCCTGATTTTGTTTTTAAAGGGGACCACCATTAACCTTTTGTTTTCAGACTATTTTGCAGCGTTTTGTAGCGATCCAGACAATGAGAATAAAAAATCCTCTTTTTTAGAACCACGTTTAAAGCTAAGAGGCTGATATGTACTATAACAACCTTAAAAATATTTAAATAAGTGTTGTTTACATGTGGTAATTTCCTTGGGCAAATATGTGTTTCCTTTTAACTATTAGAATACTTCTTGACATTATAGCATTTTATGCAAAATGGTGTGCTTTTTATTTGCATGATGTTGGGAATTTTTTTTTTTTTTTTTTAGACAGTCTTATTCCTGAATTAACCTGTGTTTGATAGACTATATTTGTTTTTCATAAACCAGAAGGTTAGTGCATTCTGCCATATTTAATCCTGGGAAAGCCTGAAGCAATTTTAGAGCCAAGTGTTGGTGCAAGCACCATAGAAACTGATTAAATGTTTCTGTTGATTGTGACAAATGTAGCACTTTGTCCTAGATTTCTTGCAGAATTTTGAAAGGCTTTGACAATATATTTTTTTCAGTTTAAGCTGATGTTTCACTGTAACATATTTTGGATAAGCTTTTGGTGTGTGAGCACCTCTGTGATGATTTTTTTTATTTATTTCAAGTATGGACAGTTTTGTTTGTGATATTGTTTATTCTACAATTTATGACATTGTTGAGAGTTGGGAGGGCACTTTCCCCTTGTAAGCATCATTATTAACATGTTTAAGTGTTTTGGGGTAAATGCTTGACTGAGGCACTGCTGTAAAATGTAGAACAATGTAGTCCAACTTCTGTGGGTGAGATGGCTTTATTTTATTGGACCAACATGTTGGGATGTACATAATAATTTGAAATTGTGCAATTTAAACCCTTTCACACATCCCCTCATCTGTCTTTTCTCCCCTTATCTTCCCATTTATTCTCCTCTTTAATCGCCGTCTCACCCTTTTCATTTATGTTTTCTCCCTTACTAATTCCATCTATCGTTCATGCTCAGCTCCACTTTCCTAACATCTTCTTTTCAAATTCCATTTTACTTTTCAATAAATCCTCAAGCCTCTTCTAAATTCCATATTTTTTCATTCTCCAATTTTGTTTCCTCCTCCTGTCATCATTCTTTTCATCCTTTATTATCATCATCACCATCATCATTTATGTAGTGCCAAAATATTCTTTAGCACTTTACAATTTTAAAAAGGATATGAAATCACAAATAAGGTACAAATATCACAAAAGACAACAGGGGCAATAGGTTAAAGGGACACTATAATCACCCAGACCAGTTCAGCTCATTGAAGTGGTCTGTGTGCAATGTCCCTGTTCTTCTTAGTCCTGCAATGAAAAACTGCAATGTTTACATTGCTGTACTAAGAATGCCTGTAGTGTCTGTCTACCAGACAGTCACTAGAGGCGCTTCAGGTAGTTTCCCGGACTTTAGGTCACCTAATTGATGTTGGACATCCTCATGCTCTGCATGAGGACATTCAGCTTCAGTGAACTCCCCATAGGAAAGAATTGCCTTATGTGCTGGCGGTGCTCTCTGCGCATGCGCATTTGGTGTCAGAGAAGGCGGAGTTCCGCACGAGTGCCGAGGGATTTTGGCGCTGGAATCTGGTGAGTAAATATAAAGTTTTGTTTTAACCTTTTATGTACCAGAAAGGTGGCTATGATGGGGGATGGGCAAAGGGCTGTATAATGTTAGGAATACAACTTTGTATAATGTTAGGAATACAACTTTGTATTTCTAACACTATAGAGTCCCTTTAATAAGGGTCCTACTCAAATGAGTTTACAATCTCGATGAAGTGAGATATGAAAGCAATGTTACAAGAATTTGTGGGTTATGAGTTTGCCTGGTATGAAGCCAAGATCAAGCTAAAGCAATATAGAAGATGTATGAAGGAACACCGTGTGGTTTAATGGTGAGAGTAGGAAATATTATTATTTAATATTTCCTGCATCCTTCTGTCTTCTTTCTACTCCCCAAAATAACGTCTCCCTTTCCCATGAGTCCCCTCATAAGCCTCACTCATTATTAATGTTTAAAGTTGAAAAGTAGTGGGAATTAGAGTCACTTTATTGTTTCTTCCTGTATGGTAAATTTTATTTGAGGTGGGTCTGTGATGTAAACAAAAGAGGTGTTTTTATCCTGTTTTCATTATTCTGAAACGTTAACCCATTAACAGGTAAAGTAAAATATGTCACTCAGTAATTACTGGTAATACTGGTCACTGGACCAACACAGAGAACATATGTAAGAAAACAGTTGAGGGCCAGTGAAGTCAGAGTGCATTATAAAACCTGGTATGTGTTGATCCAGATGATTTGTGCATAAATCATTAACCTAAGCAAACTTTATTTGACAAAACAGTGAAGACATCAGGAAATGTTAGTAGTTCTGTTCAAAACATTTGAAACATTTGTTCTGTGCTTCACTCTGCCTGGGAAAATACATTCATAAATTTGAGAGAGGCAAAATGGGACATTCAGCTCTTTATAAAAAATAAATGATACTGCAGTGTGTAATAAGAATTGTAAAACTTTATTGAGACATGTTAATTATGACAAAGCAATATGGTGACAGAGTAGGTAACCCCCCCCACAAAACGACTAGTATTAAGTGTGTTTTAAACATGTGAATCATTTAGTTTGCTTTTATTGTGGAATCACCTGCTACGTCCCTTTCTTTCCTGATTTAAGCAGTATTCAATAAACATGTATAGTTTTCCAGTCCATCAATAAGAAACAATGGAAACCACAATGCATTACTCATTTACTAGATGGCATTGCATTTCTGTGGGAGTAAAAAAATAAAATTTTCGGCCATAAATCCGTTTCCCAGCAGCTGTACAACACCAGGCAGCTGTGTAATATCTAGAAAATGCAGGGTGCAAAAATCAACAAACATCACCACTTTACGCCTTCCTCCCACCTTTTGTGTTTGATTGTGTAGTGGTGGCCGAGTGTCACTGTGTGGGAAGTTGACAGAATGGGATTGGCTGGCAACTGGCTGAGTGTGATAGTGTGTCTCTTTGGCTCCGTGTAATTATTCATGATGGTTGAGTGTGAATGTGTTTTGACGTTGGCTGAGTGTGATGAGTGTGGGGTTTGCAGAATGTGATGAGTAGAGTGGGCTGAGTGTGATTGTGTGTAGGGATAGTGTGGTTTTAATTTTAACTTGCACAAGCTCTCACACTCTGTGTAAACTATCCAAAACACATATACACACATAGACCTATACACTCTCACCCATACATACATATACACACATACTGTGTCTCTCCCTCTTAAATACAAATACTGTGTGTTTTATTATCTATTTGACTAATGGTGAGATGTCTCCTTCCAATGATACAAGCAGCTTCATGATGTTTCCACAAGTATGCCTCTTATTCAATGAGTCAAAGTTTTGCCATGTCAGCCCAGCGGCAACACTGACTCCAAATACATATTTTTATGTTATTTACTATATGTCTATCTGGCAATATATGAAACAATGATTTTGCAAAGAGGAGGAGGACTAGACCAGCTAGGCCAGGGGTCCTCAAACTTTTTAAACAGGGGGCCAGTTCACCGTCCCTCAGACACTGTTGGGGGCCCGACTATAGTTTAGAAAAAATTTGAACAAATTCCTATACATACTGAAACAGACACATACTGATCCTGATCTCTCTCTGCCCATCTTGACTCGTGTCTCTGACTGCCTCTCTTCGATCTCCAACTGGATGGCTGCTCACTTCCTTAAACTCAACCTGTCTAAAACAGAAATTTTGGTCTTTCCTCCCTCAAGTGTTACTACTCCTGTGTCTGTGTCCCTCCAAGTCAACGGTGCTACCATCACCTCTACCTTGAAGGCTCGCTGCCTGGGTGTTCTTTTTGACTCCAACCTCTCCTTCACCCCTAATGTCCAATCAATCGCCAAATTCTGTCGCTTCCATCTCAAAAACATAGCGCGCATTCGCCCTTAGTTAACCCCGGATGCGGCTTAGGTGCTGGTCCATGCTTTTGTTCTCTCTCGCCTTGACTTCTGCAATACCCTTCTCAGTGGTCTTATGTGTTCCCAGATTGCACTGCTGCAATCTATAATGAATGTAGCGGCGAGGCTCATTTTCCTGTCCGCTCGCACCTCTCACGCCTCCCCGCTCTGTCAGTCCCTGCACTGGCTTCCAGTTAAATATAGGGCTCAATTTAAAATTCTGGTGCTTGCTTACAAGTCCCTACATAATGCTGCTCCAACCTACCTATCCTCCCTAATACACAAGTATGTTCCGTCGAGACCCCTACGCTTTGCCAAAGACCTACGTCTATCCTCTGTCCGTACTCCCACCTCTATGCTCGCCTCCAAGATTTCTCCAGGGCTGCACCTCTTCTGTGGAACTCCCTACCCTTCTCCAAAAAATACTTTTACCCAGTCTCCACTCATTAAAAAAATAATTGAAAGCTCACTTATTCAAGAAAGCATATCAATTAAACTGTAAGCAGGTGTTTATCCCCCACCTCCATGACTCCTCTCCTGCCACTGTCAAAAATTACCTACTAAGCCCTTAATGAATACTTTTCTAACAACCTACTTTGTAACCCTACTTTTACCATTTGTGTCACTATACCCCACTCCCTCTAGAATGTAAACTCTTTGAGCAGGGCCCTCCACCTCTCTGTTCCTGTACGTCCAATTGTCTGGTTAAAATTACATGTCTGTTAGTCCACCCATTGTACAGCACTACGGAATGTGATGGCGCTATATAAATAATAAAATAATAATATACATACAAACACATACTGACATACACACACACACACAGACATAAATACTAAAATACATATACATACATAATGAAATACACAGAGACATACAGACGGGTTCAGGAGCCTGGCAGGCCGGATC